CTCCCAGGTCCCCTCACAGGTACTCTCTCAGGTCCCCCTCAGGTCCCCTCACAGGTACTCTCTCAGGTCCCCCTCTGGTCCCCTCACAGGTACTCTCCCAGGTCCCCCTCAGGTCCCCTCACAGGTACTCTCTCAGGTCCCCCTCAGGTCCCCTCACAGGTACTCTTTCAGGTCCCCCTCTGGTCCCCTCACAGGTTCTCTCCCAGGTCCCTTCACAGGTACTCTTTCAGGTCCCCCTCTGGTCCCCTAAAAGGTACTCTCTCAGGTCCTCCTCTGGTCCCCTCACAGGTACTTTGCCAGGTCCCCTCACAGGTACTCTCTCGGGTCCCTACTCTGGTCCCCTCACAGGTACTCAGGTCCTCCTCTGGTCCCCCTCTTGTTCCCTTACAGGTACTCACTCAGGTCCCTTCTCTAGTCCCCTCACAGGTACTCAGGTCCTTCTCTGGTTCCCTCACAGATACTCACTCAGGTCCCTACTCTGGTCCCCTCACAGGTACTCACTCAGGTCCCCCCTCTGGTCCCCTCACAGGTATTCACTCAGGTCCCCCCTCTGGTCCCCTCACAGGTATTCACTCAGGTCCCCCCTCTGGTCCCCTCTCTGGTCCCCCCTCTGGTCCCCTCTCAGGTCCTCCTCTGGTCCCCCTCTGGTCCCCTCACAGGTACTCAGGTCCCTACTCTGGTCCCCTCACAGGTATTCAGTCAGGTCCCCTCTCAGTTACCCCCTCTGGTCCCCTCACAGGTATTCAGTCAGGTCCCCTCTCAGTTACCCCCTCTGGTCCCCTCACAGGTATTCACTCAGGTCCCCCCTCTGGTCCTATCACAGGTATTCACTCAGGCCCCCTTCTGGTCACCTCACAGTTATTTACTCAGGTCCCCACCTCTGGTCCCCTCACAGGTATTCGACCGCCTCCGTGGTGTAGTGGTTAGAGCGTCCGCCCGGAGAGCGGAAGGTCGCGGGTTCGATCCCCGACCGCGTCATACCAAAAGACGTTAAAATATGGTACTTGTTGGTCCCTGTCTGGCGCTCGGCCTTAATGGGTACAACAAGGACTGGTCGGCTCGGAGTCAGTATAATGTGTCTGAGTGGGGTATTCATGCTTCACTGCGGCATGGTATTTCAGTGGGCTAGCACTATAAAACCAGCTTAAGTCTGGGCTAGTACAAGCAGCCGCACATACACATACACACGCATGCACGTCGTCATATGAGCGAAATATTCTCAAGCACGACGTTAAACCCAATTTCACCTCACCTCACCTCACAGGTATTCACTCAGGTCCCACCTCTGGTCCCCTCACAGGTACTCACTCAGGTCCCCCCTCTGGTCCCCTCACAGGTACTCACTCAGGTCCCCCCTCAGGCCCCCTTCTGGGCCCCTCAGGTCCCGTTCTGGTCCCCTCACAGGTATTATTCAGGTCCCCCTTCTGGTCCTCTCACAGGTACTCGCTCAGGTCCCCCTCTGGTCCCCTTACAGGTCCCCTCTGCTCCCCTCTCTCAGGTTTCCACTCTGGACCCCTCTCAGGTCACCGTTCTGACGTTTCATGCTCTTAAAATTCGCAAACAGGGAATTCTAATAATCACCACATGTATCGATGTCGAGTATAATCACATATACCAGTTCACAGAACTCAGTTTAAATTTGCACCAGATAACACCACTGCCAGGTGTTACTTAATCTCGCTGATATATTATCAACATCTCAAGCATATTTGCATAAACTGAAACAGTATTTTCATGTGGCATTTTATCATAACCCATCTTCATATCTAACACGCCTCTCAACACTTGTTTCGCTTTGCAAGTACACGTAAAATATGTTATATTAATGCTGAACCCCCCAAAACACCGACGAAGCACACACGCTTGGGAAATTGATACGTCTTGTAGGTCACATCAGGCCATTTGTGGAATTTTATCATCTACATTGCTACATTTGAATCAGCTTGTAAAAAAAAGACCAGACTGAACGCGTTACATTTAATGGGTGTGACGACCATCACGATTGCAGGAAAGGTAAAGGGGTGTCCAAAAGTCACGTGACGTTTTCACATGGCTTGAGTCGTATTACATTACACACAGTGACGTGGGGCACCACTGTACAGGCCGGATGGGGAAGGATAATAAAGATCTGGGAGGGAGACCGAGCTGGGAGAGAGAGGAAAGGGGATAAATAGCGACCGTCAACGAAAGACAATCTGGACACAGTAGTACTTGGCACTTTACAGTCTGAGTGACTTACAGTCTGGCAGTCTCCATATATAAATTTATATTTCTGCTGCCAAATAATACGAATTTCTCTAAGCTGGTTTTTACATTTTAGCTTTGTAGCGTAACATTACAGTTTCAGACTCGTCAAACTCGCGAGAGAGAGAGAGAGAGAGAGAGAGAGAGAGAGAAGAGAAAGAGAGAGAAAAGAGAGAGAGAAACAGACAGAGAAAGAAAGAGACAGAGTGATAGAGAGAGAGAGAAACGGAGAAACGGAGAGAGAAACAGAAAGAGACAGAGTGATGGAGAGGGTGGGTGGGGTGGGGGAGGGAGAGACGGCTTTACCAACCAAGGGACTTGTGGTTAGGGTCGCCAAGCTTGATGTAACTTTTTACTCAGATGCAGTGCATCTTCGCTCATAATATCAACAACTGGATTGTATGGTTCAGACTTGATTAAGGAATCGTCGACCGTGATTTGTAATATTGCTCAGTGCGACAAACAGAGAAAGGTGAACCATATTCACCATTCCTAGTGTCAAAGGCGCCGTGAAAAGTATTTTAAAACATTACAGTGAAGAAATCACTACACTGCGTTTAGGGGCGGTGGTAGTCTCTCGTACAGACCCTGAAGCAAATATATCCAAGAAAGCCCACGCAAGTCTAGAAAATGTGGCAAGTCTAGATTTCCACACCTTCAGGGAAGGTGTCAGGGCTCCTTTTCATTATATATATGTATATTAAACTATGAACTTTTTTTTCAGTAAAATATGTTCATTTCAGAGCCTGGTTGTTAGTCTAGGGCGGTGAGGTAGCTTAATAGTTCGTTCGCCACGCTGTACACCCGGGTTCGATTCCCCACATGGGTACATTGTGTGAAGCCCCATTTCTGGTGTTTTTTGTATAAGCATATAAACAGTAATAGTACATGCATTATGTCAGTCTGGGGTGATATAACATCTTGATACAACGAATGACGTCATATGGATCAACTGAAAGGACAGAAAGGCTTTCATATAAGAGATGGGCAGATACTCTGATAAACATTTGTAGGTATTCTGGTAATTACTCTGACAGGTGCTCAGTTAGAGAGACAGTTACCATGGCAATAAGAATTATGCGTCATTTTGAAAGGACGTATATTATTTATGGGCCACTTCAAAGGTTAGGTTAGGGATCGAAAAGCAAATACTTCAGTTTTGAGATTTAAGCGAATTCCTCGTTGCAATAATTCGTTAAACTTGTGGTTGTTTTGTTTGAAACATATTTTATTCATTCAAGAAAAGGATTGGGCACAAGTTATCCAACTTAGAAAAGCCCTCTCCAGATAATTATACAATTCATCTTACAACAAAGTACACAAGTGACAAACATAGGCCAGGATATGTACAACAGATGAGAAAGCGTTTTGTTTGAGAGATATAGATATGTACATATTTGAAAACATTCTGGTTGTCAGTGATTGGAGACCTGCATTGCCTTGTAAGATAAGATTAATATCAATCAGTGTTGTGGTTTAGTATCCTCATTGACTTACGGAGCGTTTCAGTGTAACGACGTTGGGTAGCCAAGTGGTTACAGCGTTCGCTTCTCGCGAATACCCAGGTTCGATTATCAATATAGGTGCAATGTTTAAAGCGTATTCGTGGTGTTCCACGACGTGATATTGCTGGAATACTGATAAAAGCGGCGTAAAACGTTACTCACTCACTACGTGGAGCGGCGGTGGGGTAGCCTAGTGGTTAAAGCGTTCGCTCGTTACGCCGAAGGAGAGGTGAGGTGAAATTGGGTTTAACGTCGTGCTTGAGAATATTTCGCTCATATGACGACGTGCATGAGTGTGTATGTGTATGTGCGGCTGCTTGTACTAGCCCAGACTTAAGCTGGTTTTATAGTGCTAGCCCACTGACATACCATGCTGCAGTGAAGCATGAATACCCTACTCAGACACATTATACTGACTCCGAGCCGACCAGTCCTTGTTGTACCCATTAATGCCGAGCACCAGGCAGGGACCAACAAGTACCATATTTTAACGTCTTTTGGTATGGCGCGGTCGGGGATCGAACCCGCGACCATCCGCTCTCCGGGCGGACGCTCTAACCACTTCACCACGGAGACGGTCCAGGCCAAAGGCCCGGGTTCGATTCTCCACATGGATACAATGTGTGAAGCCCATTTCTGGTGTTCCCCGCCGTGATATTGCTGGAATATTGCTAAATACGGCGTAAAAGGTTACTCACTCACCACATGGACCGACATATGTTAACTGCGACTGTCAAAGTGCCCCCAAACCCAAGAAGAAAACAGTCTCGAATATTTAATTCACTGCAAACGGAATAGAAAAGAAGACTCCGTGGTATGTCAGGCACGTGAGGAGGGAACATGAGTATTGAAGCCTTTGTGTCTGTCAGATAAGTGTTTTTGAGTTGAACTGGTTCTGTTTGACTCCGCGCGGTCGTCACACGCGCTGTTTTACCTCTCTGATCCTGGGTTTTGCTAACGTTGGGCACCGTCTGTCTACTGACAGTCTCCCAGTTGTTCAAAGTCCGGTTAAAAAAGCACACAACTGTCAAGCAGAGAAATAAAACCTATCGCCATGTCCGCACTCCCTTGACAACTCTGTTTCCAAACTGCGACTTCTTCCGCATCAGTGCGCCCGTCATTTCCCCAAGCAACGCCCTTGCACTTGTAACGCGACATCTGATTGGCTGCAGTGTCGGAACTTCCTCGTTACATGCCTGAACACGTTCGTCAGCCATTGAAGTTGTTGATATGGTGACGAAGGCACGCGACCAGGCTTTAGAAGGAGTGTGGGAAAACCCCGCCCCCACCTCGCGGCCAGGTAGACGTCACCTGGGTCCCCCCAGCCCCCTACCTGGGGGATATATGTGGCCAGGAACGCAGATACCCGACACACGAAAACACCTCGGCGAGCGGGGCACGGGGAGAGCGTGGGAACAACAGAGTGAACCTCTGTGAGTGTAATATTTTAGCCCATGACCAGCCCTACCATATCTGGACGGTATATGTAATCCTCGTTGAAGTGATTTGTTGTTGTGTGTGACTCGGTCATGATGGATGCTTTTGGAGTGGACCAAAATGAACGAAAAAATGCATCTGCTTTATGATAGCTGTAAATATAGCCAAAATGCAAACGATATTAGACCGTGATTTACATGTAAACGTTTGCGATCTCTGCCCCTCGTTATCGCAGATGGTGGCTATGGGTGATACACTCAACTTGTTAAACTGACGCTTAGTCCCATAAATATAGCTATCTTGTTTAAAAAACTATATTCACTAAACATAAAAAAGTAACATAAAAGGAGCCCATAATAATTCTTATTTCAGGGGAGAGCGGAAGGTCGCGTCATACCAAAAGACGTTAAAATACGGTACTTGTTGGTCCCTGTCTGGCGCTCGGCATTAATGGGTACAACAAGGACTGGTTGGCTCGGAGTCAGTATAATGTTTCTGAGTGGGGTATTCATGCTTCACTGCGGCATGGTATGTCAGTGGGCTAGCACTATAAAACCAGCTTAAGTCTGGGCTAGTACAAGCAGCCGCACATACACATACACACGCATGCACGTCGTCATATGAGCGAAATATTCTCAAGCACGACGTTAAACCCAATTTCACCTCACCTCACCTCACCCCTTATTTCAGTGCAAGTGTTGACTTCCTCAATCACCCTGGACTTGAGTTGTACCCCTTTTGAATTTATTCTCGAGGGTCTGAGAGACTATCCACTTATTCGTGAGGTGAGTGAGCGTGGTTTTACGCCGATTTGAACAATATTACAACGCCATCACGGCAGGGGATACCAAACTTCACACATTGTACCCACATGGGAAATTGAACTCGTATTTTATGGGGTTCACACAAACGCTTTAACCACGAGGCTAAAGCGTCATCAGCACGGTTGGGTACAGCGGTTTAAGCGTTCGCTTGTCACGCAGGAGACCCGGGTTCGATTCCCCACATGCATGCAATGTGTGAAGCCCTTTTTTTTGGTGTCCCCGCCGTGATATGGCTTGAATATTGCTAAAGGCATCGTAAAACCAGAATCGGTGCTAAACTGACTCATGGTATACTGACCAGCAATAAAAACGCAACTCTGAATTCATGAAAATTATACTTTTTCAGCATGAGTTTGGATTTGATACTTGAACACAATTGTTTCGATTTCTTGAATTGCGTTTCTTTTGCTGGTCAGTATATTTTAGGGGTCGAGACCTAGGAAACTGGCTTTAGTCCCATCTGGTGCAAGCAGCCACACACAAGTGCATTCACGCCGTGACATGAGTGAAACAATCTCGATAGGGGCCATAAACTACATGTCACCCCTCCTCATGTACAGGCTTATTACAGCGAAGTCCCTCTGAGCATGGTTAACCGAGTGGTAGCTGCCCCTGGTTATTGCAGTTAAATCTATGTTTCACACAGTAATTCAAGCGTTACTTCTCACGCAAGTGCGAATGGGAATACCGACTTGGCGACTGCCTAATAAAATGAGGGAGCGATGGGGTAGCCTAGTGGTTAAAGCGACCTCTCGTCAAGCTGAAGACCCGGGTTCGATTCCCCATATGGGTACAATGTGTGAAGCCCATTTCTGGTGTCCCCCGCTGTGATATTGCTGGAATACTGCTAAAAGTGGGGTAAAGTCATACTCAGAAACTAAATAAACGAGTCGCCTGCATCGTATGTGCATTGTTTGCATTATTATTTATATCACAGTAAGTTTTATATTACTTCTGCTTGTTAGGTGTGTTGATTAAACCGTACGCATGCATAAAAGTATTGTAACACCAATGATTTTTGACCCCCATATAACCATTTATATCCATACCATTATGTTTCTGTGACTATTTTGATCATTCGGGAGCACCATGCACTGATTTTAGATATGCACGAGCTTCGGTCATAATCGAGAAATCAGATCGATCAAAATCGACGTGTACACGTCATTAAGCATTATCACGTTTCAGTAAACTGTTCTTATAACTCGAAAACTTGTAAAATCAATTGATTTTGTTGTTAAGCAAATATGGATCCTCCTCAGCTGACAACTGCTCAGAGTGAGTGAGTGAGTTTACTTTTACGCCACATTCAGCAATATTCCAGCTGTATGGCGACGGTCTGTAAATAATCGAGTCTGGACCAGACAATCCAGTGACCAACATCATGAGCATCGATCTGCGCACTTGGAAACCGATGACATGTGTCAACCAAGTCATCGAGCCTGACCACCCGATCCCGTTAGTCGCATGGGTTACTGAAGATCAATATTCTAACCCGGACCTTCACGGGTCGACAACTGTTCAGAGCTCTCAAGTTATCGGTATATGTGAAATGCTGTCATGATATTGAGGGGATTTTCCAGAAATGTTGGTTGTCATCCGTCGGTTATGAGCCGACTGGCTAGAAAACGTCAGTACCATATTGACGTTAACCACCGTCAGTGTTGAGTGGCAAGTTGCAATTCCAAGGGAGGATACAGCCCTTCTCAGAATCACAAGACTTCAGAAACAGTGCACCAACAGAACGGAATATCTTGTAGCAAGTACCGTTTTGCAGTGGGTCATCGGTGGTGTGGTAGTGTCTCTCACTTGACAGTAAAACTCTTGATGTGTTGAAACAAGCTCTCCTTTGAAAGTGGAACGCAATACCTTAACGTCAAATTCAACGTCTGATACAGGCCGGGGGTGGGGTGGGGGTGGGGGTAGTCTAGTGGTTAAAGCGTTCGCTCATCACGCCGTAGACCCGGGTTCGATTCCGCACACGTGTAAAGCCCATTTCTGATATTGCTGGAATATTGCCAAAACCGGCGTAAAACCCAACTCACTCACTGATACAGGCAAGGAGGAGGGTCAGGGGAGGTTCCGCCAGATATTGACATTGGCTCGGTTAGTGATACTTATGTGATTTGTTTTAGGATTGCAGGCAAGTATTTTGGAGATGACAGAACGTGTTATCGTCAAACGACCACAGGTATAATTACTACAAAATAGGTAATTTTTGCCATTTTCACTTCTGTGAATAAACTTCAAGTTTTTCTTCTTTAGGCGTTTAAATTGTCATCTAATTATTTGTTGTGGGTCAAGTTATCCAGAGTGTAAATCAAATCGAGGTCTGGATAAGCTCCTTTGCTCCTGTTTATGACAACACATTAATACTGATGCTTTGACAAATATGATTTGTTGCGAAATTTTTTACATGTGTAGATATATTCTGAACAACGTATGCTCTAACGTATACAGGAAAAAACATATTTATAAGGGGAAATCGTTTCAATGTTTTCAAATCTTTTCAATATCCGCCACAACTGTTGCGTGTGTCTGAGTGAGTATTCAGACAGACAAACTGACGATTATATGTACCCCCACACCCATGTAAGAGGATAAAATCAAGAGTAAATGCTTTCTGGACATGTTATGGTAATCATCGTAAACAACAGAACCACCATCATCGACAACATCGTCATCTTTTCAAATCATTTTTTTCGCTCGAACGTTGTCGATTCATTTATAATCGGGCTTCTGTTTTGACGTACCCTCATTCCTATTTGGTACCTGTGAAGATCCGGGTTAGAATTGATCTTCAGCAACCCATGCTTGTCGTAAGAGGCGACTAACGGGATCGGGTGGTCAGGTTCGCTGACTTGGTTGACACATGTCATCGTATCCCAATTGAGTAGATCGATGCTCATGATGTTGATCATTGGATTGTCTGGTCCAGGCTCGATTATTTACAGACCGCCGCCATATAGCTGGAATATTGCTGAGTGCGGCGTAAAACTAAACTCACTCACTCACTCTGATCGGGCGGTTATTTTAGCGTCGTGTCATTCGTGCCTGACTTCTATCGTGTATTATTAACGTGCCTTATTATAACGTCGTGTCATTTTACTTTCACTTTTGGCGTCGTGTCATTCGTGCTGTGCGGCTTCTTTTAGCGTCGTATTATTAACGTCGCGTCATTCAAAAAGGAAATATTTGTCGTGGATGGGTACATGAAGTTTGTCATAATAGTACACAATGGACATTACGGATGGCATGAACTTCATTTCTGTGCACATATTTGTTAGAACATTAAATTAAAAGTTTTTGAAGACTTTTTCTGAAGCTCCAATAATTTGCGTCTAATTTCATCGTCGATTCCGTATTTCATGCAGACACAAACGCAAAGAAAGCGGAGTGTCGTCAGTTGTCACCGTAAGCCACCGAAAGGTACCGTCATGCAAGCTGCAGTCGCCACTAATCACCGTAAAGTACCACGAGATACCCACCCCATCAATAGCAGACGGTGAACGTCACCACCAGTCGCTGGAATCACCGACAGACTCTCTGACGCTCAGACGTATTATGCATCTTTCGAGAAATAGTTTCGACATGTTATGAGTCTATTTGAAAACATAAAAAACTATAAAAATACAAAGAACACCCATCCCCTCAAACAAAAGACAAGCAAAGCAACAACAAAAAACAACCCCCCCCCAAAAAAAAAAACCGAAAAAAGAAGAAAAGAAAACCCAAAGAAACGAACACAAAATACAACAAACAGATAAAAAAACAAAAACGAAACTAACAACAACAAAACAAACAAATACTGTTTTTAGCAAAATATGACACCGTCAAATTGATCTTGGTTTCAGGGTTTCACCGGAAGTCCGTAGTCCCTGTCATGCTCCTGAGCCCCGTTTCCGTAAGCTATCGTAGCGCTAAGACTGTCGTAAGTCAATGTTACAGTATAGGGGGTACGACAGTCGTAGCGCTACGATAGCTTCGTGAAACGGGGCCCAGAGCGTGGCTTCAAACACGAATCACTACCAATTTCCGTTAACACAATACCCAAGCTTGTATCTTTCCATGAAGTTGTTTAATGTCTTCGTATTTGGGCTTTATCGTGCAAACCCAACTGAATTTTAGGTGAGCTTGCTGTATACACCGTAGACAATGTACAGAGCATGTGCCAGTTTCCCGACCTCTGTAGTATATGTAATTTGTGCACTTAGCGTGTCATATCCAAAAAGTTTGTGGTTTCAAGAATATTTACCCACCCTCAATAACATCCCTGATTCCAAGTTAGGTTTATTTATGACCATCATCATCGACAACATCGTCATCTTTTCAATTCATTTTTTTTCGCTCGAACGTTGTCGATTCATTTAGATCGGGCTTCTGTTTTGGGTTCCAAGTTTCAAGAATATTTACCCACCCTCAATAACATCCCTGATTCCAAGTTAGGTTTATTTATGACCTGATTTCAAATATCTGACCAACTTCAACAACACATTTGTGTCAAACCACGTGTGCACTCATCTCCACACTTAATGATTCTACAGTGAAATGTCATCTTCATCCCTTTACATCCACGTGATTGTGGCAGTTTTCCAAAGTGTCAAGAATTTCTTCATAAAAACATTTTTAGATTATAAACCGAACAAACCTCTTCTCCATGCGCAATAACAACTCACACATTGTCTCTCTCTCCTCCTCTTCCGACTCCCCACTTGCCTTCGCTTATATTCCCACGATTGGAGACACGCACCTGTTTATCAGTATTATTTATCAAATAATATACCTATAGAATTGCCCTACATCACAAGGATCTCCTTAATCTTATATTTACGGGTAGGCGTGTTCGGAGAACATAGTATCTCACTGCTGAGCCATAAACACTCGGAATGCCATTCGGAGCATACCATTAGTCGAAATGTGACGAAGCTGCTTTAGCGACGTTTGATAATCATGAAATGCAGTGGGTTATGGAAGATTATATTCTTTTTTTTGTGAAAGCATTTCGTTTGATTGTCGCACAATTGAGTTATTAGGCAGCGGTACTCACCCGTGAGTGAACAGGAGTACTAACTTTTCGCTTCAGTCTCTTTCTGGGTCAGTACTATGGGACCTATTTGTTACAGTTATGTTGACGTTGACCCGAAGTGTTCATCTGTTTTGAAGACTATTCAACATAGTTCTAAGGAAAATTGACTCAATATATATTTTTCACATCACTATGTAAATCGGTTTCCTGATTTCGGAGACATAGCACGGATAGTTTTGACAAGTGACCCTGGATATCATGATCTTAGATACACCATCTCTACCCTACTATTTGCGTCAGTGTAAAAAACAAATAAAAAGGTTTTTAAAACCTTTCATTATTATGATCATAATTTCTTTTGGCAGTATCTAATAACATCCCCCAATGTTATCTCCATTGTTGTCCTCAAAGTTATCTCCACTGTTATCCTCAAAGTTATTCCCATTGTTGTCCCCATTGTTGTCCTCAAAATTATCTCCACTGTTATCCTCAAAGTTATTCCCATTGTTTTCCCTATTGTTGTCCTCAAAGGTATCTCCACTGTTATCCTCAAAGTTATTCCCATTGTTTTCCCCATTGTTATCCTCAAGTTATCCCCACTGTTATCCTCAAAGCTTTTCCATTGTTATCCTCAAAGTTGTTCCATTGTTATCCTCAAAGGTATCCCAATGTTATCCCATTGTTATTCTCAAAGTTATCCCATTGTTATCCTACACGTTATCCCCGTTGTTTATCCTCAAAGTTATCCCCACTGTTATCCTCAAAGTTATTCCCATTGTTATCCGCAAGGTTATCCCGACTGTTATCCTCAAAGTTATCCCAATGTTGTCCCATTGATATCCTCAAAGTTGTTCCATTGTTATCGTACAGGTTATCCCAAAGTTATTCCCTTTGTTATCCTCAAAGTTATCCCAATTGTTATCCTCAAAGTTATCTCCACTGTTATCCTCAAAGTTATTCCCATTGTTTTCCCCACTGTTATCCTCAAGTTATCCCCACTGTTATCCTCAAAGCTTTTCCATTGTTATCCTCAAAGTTGTTCCATTGTTATCCTCAAAGGTATCCCCACTGTTATCCTCAAGTTATCCCCACTGTTATCCTCAAAGTATTTCCATTGTTATCCGCAAGGTTATCCCCACTGTTATCCTCAAAGTTATCCCTTATGTTGTCCCATTGTTATCCTCAAAGATGTTCCATTGTCATCGTACAAGTTATCCCAAAGTGATTCCCTTTGTTATCCTCAATGTTATCCCCATTGTTATCCTCAAAGTTATCCCCATTGTTATCCTCAAAGTTATCCCCATTGTTTATCCTCAAAGCTTTTCCATTGTTATCCTCAAAGTATTTACATTGCTATCCGCAAGGTTATCCCCACTGTTATCCTCAAAGTTATCCCAATGTTGTCCCATTGTTATCCTCAAAGATGTTCCATTGTTATCGTACAAGTTATCCCAAAGTGATTCCCTTTGTTATCCTCAAAGTTATCCCCATTGTTATCCTCAAAGTTATCCCCGTTGTTATCCTCAAAGTTGTCCCCATTGTTTTCTTCAAAGGTTTACCCCATTGTCTCCTGGCTAATGTGTTTAATGAAGTTAAACAACACACCCCGTTCCACCATCTTAGCTCTACGAGCGCCGTTCGTTTATGTTCAAGTTTTGGAATTGCGATATACATTAGTGACTTACAGAATCAGTGACAAACGTATAAAATAGTGACTAACTTGAAAAGTGACATTGTAAGTTGTTCACTGGTCACGACTGACTGACTGAGTATGGTTTTACGCCGCTTTTTGCAATATTCCAGCAGCATCACGGCGGGGGACACCAGAAATGTCACTGGTCATGAGGAGGACATGGGTTGATGTTCCCTCTATGTTTGTTTCTATAAATGTATAGAGTAGGGACTTACTTGAGAAGTGACATACGTATAGAATAGTGACTTACTTGAAAAGTGACATACGTATAGAATAGTGACTTACTTGAAAAGTGACATACGTATAGAATAGTGACTTACTTGAAAAGTAACGTACGTATAGAATAGTGACTTACTTGAAAAGTGACGTATGTATAGAGTAGTGACATACTTGAAAAGTGACATGTATAGAATAGTGACTTACTCGAAAAGTGACGTATGTATAGAATAGTGACTTACTCGAAAAGTGACGTATGTATAGAGTAGTGACTTACTTGAAAAGTGACGTATGTATAGAGTAGTGACATACTTGAAAAGTGACG